GGCATTCGGCTGAGCGAGAACAAAGCCGAGCAGAACAAACAAAGGGGCTTTGGTAGAACCTGCTGCTTTATGAAAGACCAAGAGGGGACTGAAAAAAGCAGAGAAGCGTCTGGAGGCCATCACAGAAGTCACTGTTTGCTCAAAGTCAACACAACAGGATGAAATACCTCGGCACCAGCATGCCTTCTAGTTTATTTTTACTGAAGTGGATAACCGATGTGTTTGCTCCACTAGAATGGCTTCAGATGGGTAATTAAGTCCCAGGTTTGGGCAGGCGTTTAAAAATAGTGACCAATCATTTCATCTTCAGTCCTCCTATCTTTGCTGAGACAGAGGATGCACTCTGCTGTGCTACAGTTTAACGTTTTCTTGGCGCTTACTCACTTATTTATAGCAGCGAGGGGGACTGAACCAGAAGCCAAGAAAACTGAGAAGTCTATTCCAAGCACAACTGCCGACATCAGCCAGATTTGTAGCTCTGTCTATTTCCCCACCTCTTGGGTTTAAATTCAGATATTTGCACGGGATTTCAGGCATAGATCTCTGAGGTTCAGCTATAGCAGAACTAAAACAAGGAAGCGTGGCAGTTTGCGGAGCAGGGGAAGCCCTGCCTTGCTTTCCTGACTCACTGATCTCATGTGACCACCTGTGAAATCCAGACACTTTCCCCGGGGAAGCCCCTGCTTGCCTAGTGCAGAAGCAGGGCCAGAAGGGACGCGACGGCCGCCGCTGCTCACCTTATGAAGTACATGAGCCCATTGAGAGTCACCGTCTTCGGCGCGAAGGACCACGGAGGCAGGTGGCCGCAGTTGACAAGGGACCAGAGGTCGCTGTCGGGGTCGTAGCACTGCATAACCATGGACTCCTTGCCCGAGAGCGAGCCGATGGCGAAGAGCTTGCCGCGGCACGAGGTGGTGGAGCAGTTGTCCATGGGGTAGAGCATGGGCTGCAGAGCCTCCCAGCTATCCACCGCGTGGTCGTAGCGCTCCGTGCTGTCGGAGGCGATGACGTACAGCAGCCCGTCCAGCACCGTGGAGCTGTGGTACTCCCTGGCTTTCAGCATCGGGGACACCTCCGTCCACTCGTTCACGCTGGAGTTGTACCTCCAGACGCAGTCGTACAGCCTTGAGCCATCTGACCCCCCTGCAGCACAGCACACGACATTTCAAGAGGCATTTCACAAAACACAGTCCTTGCAGGGGAGGTGCTGCAAGGTGCTGGAGGAGAGGGCTCGACTCGGGACCCAGTTCCTTTTATGCCTTCCGGCTACACCTGTCTAATACCCACCTGCACTTTTCTGCGTCCCAGAGCCACACGTAATGAAAACATTTCTGTACTTGGGGAACCGCAGTAGTTTGCACTGAGAGGATTTTAACAAACTTTTGGACTATTTCTTTCCCAGCTAGCCAAGAATTTCTCCTGACTATTCAGCAATGACTCGAAACAAGCGGCCTCCCTCGTTCCAAATAATCATTTTCTTTCCCGTTTTGCAATCCCTGCTCTGCTGTTCTCCAGAAGCTACTGTGACATAGCAGAGATTCACATTCAGCAGTGCCCAGCTGCCAAGGCACTGTTCCCGTCAGCAGCACGGAAGTCTTCCAGCCTTCCCGAGCGGCTGAGCAATGACACTGACACTACACAGAACCACCTCCAGCAGCAGTGACCTCGCTGAAGCGTGGGGCTCTCGGCAGACAGCACCCCCAGAGCTGCCTGTACCTGCTCAGGAAGGTTTCCACAGGACACAGAGGTGTTAACACAAACTGGCTGGATGTTAGTCTTTCCTTTTCACAGCTCTGCCTTAAAATCTGACCTCGTTCCCTGCTAACAGCTAGAGAACAAACAGTTTTCTGTTCCCCTCCATCTAACCTGCGCTTCAAATCTTTAACAGCACAACGTGCAGTCGGTGCAGGCTGTTCTGCAGCACCTGAGCTCCCAGGTGTTTGTTCTACATCACTGCGACCACCACAGGACTGCCACTGGCTAAGGGATATAGCTCAAAGAAAGTCTCTCTACGTGCAGATTAACAACCAATTCACACTCCTGTGTCACCTCTGCGGAAGTAATTACAGCCCCAGCAGATCGTCAGGAGCCAGCACGTATGCAGGGGGAGACACCGTGACGCACACACGCTGCCTGCCACTCCTCAGTGCCTCAGCTGCGCCAAAGCCCAGGGCACCCGGGGCTTTCTGACGTGACGCTGCCTCGAGCACGTGCTTGGCTTGTGATTCACAGGCTCTGAACCCAAACACTTGGCAGCCAGAAATTCAAAACCCCTCTCAAGTCACTTCTGTCGTCCAGAGCAAGCAGTTAGAAAGTTTCTCCAGCGCAAGTCCTGGGAGTTCTGTCTGCATGCTCAGAAGTATTAGTCACACCAAAATACCTCCCAGATTGAGATCAGCTGCTAAATCCCCATCCAGCACCAACGCCAGGAGCCTCTGAACTCCTGGAGTCTTCAGGCTGCAGCCACACTGTGCCTGAGCAGCGTTTCAGCTGCTTTTTAAGCACCACTCTAAGACACGGCTGTTTTCCTACGAGCCTCCTGCCTGCACAGACGTTAACGACCCAGAGCGAAGGCTGGGACAGAACCGAGCAGGCTGCTCTGCACCACGTGCACCTCCTGCCCTGGGCTGCACTCAGCGTCAGGCGACGAGCCCTGCTGTTTTTCCACCTCCAGGAGCAGGCGAGCTCCTGACAAGAGGAATGAGAGCAGCACAGGAGGCAGGCGCTGCATAGGGAGCAGGCTGTGCTGAGCGATGTTTGTTTCATTCCCTGGAAAGGCCCTCGCAGTGCTCTGGGGAGGACCTGGGACGCTTCAGCCCGTGCCCCACCCGCCAGCAGCACCCAGTGCCCTGGCGCACCGCAGCCCGGTGACTTACCGGTGACATAGATGTCATTGCCCAGCGCGGCGACGCTGTAACCCCCGCCCAGGTGCTCGGGGAACTCAGCCAGGTAGCGCCAGTGGCCGGTGCGTGGGTTGTAGCAATCGACGGTGACGAGCTCGTCGCAGTCACGGTCGCAGCCGCCGACGAGGACGAGGATCTCGGCGAGGCCGGTGGAGGGCCGGGGCCGCATGCGGGCGCAGGGCCCGCGGTCGTGGCGGTCAAGGCGGGCGGCCTGGAAGTCACGGGCCTCGCGGAGGAGGCGCAGGCAGGGCGGGCAGCGGGCCACCAGCGGCTCACCCTCCACGTGGGCCAGCAGGTAGAAGCGGCGCACGAAGGGCAGGCGGACGTGTGCCAGGAGCTGGGGCAGCAGCGGGGCGCGGGCGGCGGGATCGGCACGCACCCAGCGCAGCGCCAGCTGGAAGGCGGCCTCCTCCTTGGGGATGCAGAGCCCGTCGTCACGCAGGTAGGACAGCAGGCGGGGCAGCGGGAGCCGCTCCAGCTGGGCGCCCAGCTCGCTCACGTGCCGCAGGACGAAGCGGTGTGCGGCGGCCGCCAGCGCGGGGCAGGCGAAGGCCTCGGCGAAGTCCTGCATGTCCAGCGCGTTGGCGGGCTCCAGCTGGCGCGCCAGCCAGGCTCCGCACGCCTCCTTGACGGCGGGGAACTGCAGCAGGTCGGCGGCGCGCAGGAGGCGCTCGGCGAATGTCGGGGCCCAGCCCGCCCACGCGGCCGGTGTAGGCGAAGTCGAGGAGCCTCGCCAGGCACTCGGGCTCCACGCCGTGCAGCCGCACGCGCTCAGCCCGTGCCTCCCGCAGCGCCCCGCCGAACATGGCACGGAAATAGCCGGAGGCGGCGGCCAGCACGGCGCGGTGAGCTCCGAATTCCCGGCCACCCGCCACCACCGTGACGTCCAGGAGGCTCCGCTCCGCTCGCAGCGCGCTCAGCCCCCGCAGCAGGGACACCGCATGGGCTGGCTCCCCGGTGCTGCCGCCGCTGCTGCCGCTGCCGCCGTCCCGCTGCTGCCCTGTGTTCGCTGCCATGCCCTGCCTCGGAGGAGAAGGAGGAGGAGGAGGACGCGCTGTGCCACAGCCTGGTGCGGAGCCCCTGGGTCAACCCTGAGAGCAGCTGTCGGGAGGAGAAAAAAACAACACAGGCGGGTTAGTGCGGGGAGAAACGTCCTGTGGCCTGGGACACGGGACGGCCTCAACAGCCCCAGCAGCCGCTCTCCGTCCCCAGCGGCGGGCAGCAGCAGGTTGCATAACGCCCTGCAGCTGCCAGCAGCCGCCGTGCTGGGGCGAGTCACGGTGCGAGGAGCTCCCGGTGCTCGGGTTCCCCGGGGTTGAAGCAGCCCCGCAGCACCTGGACCGCTCCGTGAGGCCCCCGGGCACCCCGACCTCAGGTCTGAGCCTCCCGGGCACCCCCCGGCACCGAGCCCTGAGCCCGTCCCGCCGGGCTCCCCCGTCCCCGCCAGCTCCCGGTTCCCCCCCGGTTCCCCCCCGGCTCCCCCCGGCCGCTCCACACCCGGCTCGGTCCCGGCTGAGGGGAGCGGGCCCCGAGGCCCCCCGCTGAGGGCGGTGCCGGTGGTCCCGGTGCCGCGGTACTCACGGGGTCGCGCCGCTCCCGACGGCTGCCGGCTGGGGGGGCTGAGGGGGGCGGGGCAGGGGGGGGGGGCGGCCCCGGGGCCCTGAGGCGGCGGCCGCGGCCCCGCCCGCGCTGGGAGGCGCTCGGAGGGCCCCGAGCAGGGCCCCCCCCACCCCTCCTCGTCCCCTCCCGTCCCCCCACGCCCCGCCCCACCCCCCCCACCCCCAATTCCCGTCACGGACCCCCCCCCCTCCCCTCCCTTCCCCTCCCCCCCCCGCCGCCCGCGCTCACCTCGCGCCGCCCCCGCGGCCCCGACCTCTCCCGGCACCCCCCGCGCGCGCCCCCCCCTCAGCTCCCAGCACCCCCCGCGCGGCTCAACCCTTCCCCCCCCCGCCCCTCCACCACGCCCGCCCCATCCTGCCTACATCTCCCAGCACCCCCCGCGCCGCCGCACTACATTTCCCAGCATCCCCCGCGCGCTGCCGGACTACTGCTCCCGGCAGCCCCCGCGCCAGCGGCCGCCCCTTCGCCGCCTCCCGCCGGTACCGAGCGGTTCGCGGGGCTCGGCGCTGCCCCCCCCCCCCCCTCACAACCCCCCCCTCACGACCCCGCCGCCGCCGCCACCCGCCCCGCGGGGCCATGGACTCGGACTCGTGCGCCTCGCCGTTCGCCCCGGAGGTGAGCTGTGCCCGGGGGGGGCCGCCTCACCGCCGCCTCACCGCCCCCCCCCCTCTCTCCGCCGCCCGTTTGCCGCCGGTGCCCGTTCGCCGCCGCCGGGCCGGGGCCATTTTGTGGCGCTGGGGTGCGGAGCCTCAGCCCGGCCGGGCGGCGGGGGGCGGCGGAGGGTGGCGGAGGTGTCCCCCCCCCCCCTCCTTGTCCCGCCGTGGCGGCCGGTACCGGGCCCGGGCAGCGGGGCTGGGGGGGTCCCGGGGGGTCCCGGGGGGCGGCGGAGCTCGGGGGTTGCCGCGGGGGGTGGGGGCGGGGCGCGGCGGGGAGCGGCGGCGGCGGGCGGGGCCCGGCGGAGGGGGGAAGGGGGAGGGGGGGGGGCACCGGAGGAGGGGGGGGGAGCGGGCACCGGAATGGGGGAGGGGGGGGGTGAGGGGGGGGGGGGGAGCGGGCACCGGGAGAAGTTGGGGGGGGGCGGCCCCCGGGGAGCGGCAGCGGGGGGAGGGAAGGGGAGGGGTGAGGGGAGGGGGCGGGTTCCGGCAGCGGGGGAGGGGAGGGAGGGAGGGGAGGGGGCGCTCGGTTCCGGGAGCGGGCGCTGGGGGGGGGCCGGATCCGGGCAGCGGCAACCGGGAGGGGGCCAGGGGGGCCCCGCCGCTGCCCCGTGCCCCCCCCCCCCGGTACCGTGCTGTGCCCGCCCCGTGGTGGAGGCGCCGCCGCTGACCCCTCCCTGTCCTATTCCCCCCCCCCCTTCCAGGATTTCTCCCCCGCGTCCCGGCGGCACCGCACCGTGGAGGACTTCAACAAGTTCTGCACCTTCGTCCTGGCCTACGCCGGCTACATCCCGTACCCGCAGGAGGTGAGGGGCAGCCCCGCTGCCGGTACCGGCCGTGCCGTGCTGCTCCCGGGGCCTTACCGGGGCCCCCCGGAGCCCCCACGGCAGCGCTGGGTGTGGGGAGCGGGAGCGCAGGGCAGGGCGAGCGGAGCGCCGCGGCGTGGAGGGCGCGGTACGGGAGTGCCGAGCGCTGCAGTACCGCACGTGCGCCGCCTCCGAGGCAGTGCCGGGATCTGATTTCTGCTGTTCTCTAGGAAACGCCGCTGAGGAACAGCCCCAGCCCTCCCAACAGCACCGGAGGCACGATCGACAGCGATAGCTGGGATCCCCGCTTCAACGACGCCCCCTCTTCGGTTTCCCTTCCTGCCAAGAACAGAAAGAACTTCAGTCAGCTGAAGCGAGCTAAACCCTATGGCTCCCTGTTCCAGCGGGCAAAGCCCGGCAGCTTCCTGCCGGAGCGGAAGCAAGTCGATAAGATCAGGAAGAAGAAAAAGCTGAAGAGAAGGGAAATGGAGGTGTCTGCGGAGGAAGACTACGAGGAGAAGCTGCTGGAGCTGGAGGCAGAGGACTCTTTTGTAGAGACGCCGATGAGCCCCTCGTCTGAGGGCGACCCTCAGTCTGTGACTGAGCACAGCTCGGTGTGGGACTCTGACACGCCGTCCAGCGTCTCCTACCCTGCCGTGACGGCCGAGCAGACGGTGGAGATACAGAGTGTGGGCAAGAGAACGGTCATTCGCCAGGGCAAGCAGGTTGTCTTTCGGGATGAGGACGGCACTGGTGATGACGAGGACATCATGGTGGATTCAGGTAGGTGGCCTGGCTGTCGGGAGGTGGCGTGGGAAGTGATGGGCCGGGTGCAAGCATTGGTGCTACTGCCAGTGGAGCATGAGCAGAATACAAAGGTGCATTAGCTGTGCCGAGTTAATTAGCAGTTTTGTTGGGAGGAAAGTGGGGGGGCGGGCGAGGTTGACAACTTTTGTAGCTATAGAAGCAACAAGTTCTGCTCTCCTGGATTACAGCCACTTTTGTGCTCTTCCTGAGCAGGAGTTTGCAGGGACTAGTGTCTCATTGATGGAAAAGTCAGCAAAGTGCCTGCCTTTGAAAGCCAGGCAGTTCCTTTGGATTGGAAACAAAATAACTCCCGGTGTAGCTGAAAGATCTGTCAGGAGTCAGAGACGTAACTCGCTGCATTTCGTTTCAGACGATGACTCGTGGGACCTCGTCACCTGCTTCTGCATGAAACCTTTTGCCGGGCGGCCGATGATCGAGTGTAACGAGTGCCACACCTGGATCCACCTCTCCTGCGCCAAGATCCGCAAGTCGAACGTCCCAGAGGTGTACATATGCCAGAAGTGCCGGGACTCCAAGTTTGACATTCGCCGCTCGAACCGCTCCCGGACGGGCTCGCGCAGGCGCTTTCTGGACTAGGCAGGGGACGCGCGCTGGCGCGCTGCGTGGGCGGGCAGGCGAGCCGTGCAAAGCACAGGCGCCGGCCGGGAGCTGGGGAGAGCTCCCCCGAACTGCTGCTGCTCAGGCCAAGGGGCCGCCCAGCCTGCCTGCGGCACCGGGGCTGGGGTCTCCCAGAGCTGTGGACGGCCGGGGCTGGAGGAAGCAGACTGGTCAGAACTGCTGCTAAGTACTGAGGAGCTCAAGGGACAGCTGGAGCTCCCTGGGGTTCGGCGGGGTTTTGTCCAGTTACAGCTATGGGTTGGATGATGTTTTGGGAATGTATAATACCTTTGCCACGTATTTTTTCTCATCCCATTGGGAAACTGCAAAACTTCTCTGTGCTAGGAAACTCATCCTCTGAAGAGGGAGGAGGAGGAAGAGGGAATCTGTGTGAAGAGTCTGAAAAGTAAATGGCCACGTGTTCTAATTTTAATGTAACGTTATACCTGCCCGTTTGTCCTTATGTATCGATCTCAGATATTCTCAGGCTCCGGAGGAGTGAGCGAATGCATACCGGCCTTTGTGATCTGCCTCCTCCTCTGTGGGCCCGGGCAGGAGGCGAGTTCTGTGATTTGGCATTGGTTGAGTAAGGATGGGACTTCCTCCTGCTCTGAGGGCCTGGTGCGCTTCAAGGAAGAGAACAGTCCTCCTTCTGGATGGGCAGTGCTGGAAAACACTTGACATCAGATTTCCTAGAAGTCTCTTAACAGTGATTTTTTGTGACTTTGTTTTGCATGATTGGCTCAAATGTGTGTGTGGGGGGGATACCATTTGCTCTGTTTCCCGGCCCTTTGTTAAACTCTAAGGTGCTGTTTCAAGAACACAATGACTCTCCCTTTTTTCAGCCCAGAATTAAAGCATGGACTGTAAAAGGGGCTGTAGTAAACTTAGAACCTGGCCAGTCTGGTTCGGGATTAGATCATTTCCATCTGAGCACTACAGACAAGTTGACTTTGTTTTCACAGTTTTGTTTTTTGAGACTGGATGTATAACCAGAAAACCAAAATCTTTAACCTATTGGTTGCAAATTACACAGATAAGAGCAAATGCGGGCTATGCAGCTAGCAAGGTGAAGCGCAGTGAAGAAGATCCATCTGCTTCTGGGAAGGACAAGAGAGCAGAGGCCCCACCAATGCTGCGGTCCCTTGGCAGGCCTTCCTGGGGCCTCAGCCCATGGGAGGTCTCTTCAGAAACGTGACAGGGAGCCCAGGCTTGTTTGCAAGGCCACCAAGATCGAGGTGTTGTCCCTCAGTGACCAAACAGAGCAAGCTGTATGTATTGCACAAATTGAGTTTGTTTTTGAGGTGTTTCTCTTGAGTTATGCCTGATGAGCACGTTCTCTGTCCTGCTGGGACCATGAGGCGAGGGGAGTGCAGCTTCAGCAAGGTCAGCGCTGACAGGAGCGTGTCTGCTGGTCCTGCAGACACAGCTGGTCAGAGACTGCCTCACATGAGTACTGGCTGATCAGGAGACACGTTCTTCATCAAAATCCTGTCCCACCATGCTGTAACAACCGACTCTAGGTTCTGAAAACCAGCTCCAGCTTCTGTCAATCCAAGCCCCTGACTGCGGTTTGCTGCCTTCCAGAAGCTAAATGGAACCACCAAGGAGTTTGCCAAAGATTTGCCCCCTGCGGCTGCCCGACTGCTCCTTACAGCCAGAAAAATAACCAAAGTTCTCAAATGCTGCCATTTCACTCTGCAAACAGAAAGGCTTTGGAAGATCCTGGTTGCAAGCTCTGTGAGGGTTGGACCTGCTCTGAGTATTGGCATTTTTGTGTTTACAGCGTGTCTGCAATTCAGCTGGACCTCTGTGGAATGTGTTCCTGAAATTTTTATGGGAGAAATGTTAAATGGCCAAGTGAACCTGCCTCTTTTTTTTTTTTTTTTACAGAGGTTCGATACTAATCAATGTGACTGACTCTTGTTCTGTTACCTTTTCAGATTTATCCCAGTAGATGGTGTCTGACAAGTCCAGCACATTACAATATCAGCAGAGAGAAAAAAGTAACATCTCCATTCTTTTAGTTCATCACTTTCAGCCATGTATAATTATAGTTTAATTCAGAACTTTATTTTTTCATTAAAACTGTTTTAATGAACCATGCTTTTTTTTAAAATGTGGAACAAATGAACAATGTCTCTGTTTTATTCTGGATTCAAGAGTCTGCTAGTATGACTTATTAGTGTGCAAAACATTTGTGCTGGGGGGCAGCAAGACTCAACCAGAAGCCCTTTTCCCTAAACGATACACATGCAGGGAAAGACAGGAGTACCCCAAGCAGATCTCCCCCTCGTGTCCTGACAGGGGCCTGCTTTCCCTGCCTTTGTAGCAATGTCCCTCCTGATTCTGCTCTGGGCAAGGTAAATTGTGGTGGAGCCCAGGGCAGGGACAAGCCCCTGGGGTGGCTGGGCTTGTGTCAGGAGGGGTAAGAGGGAGGTGCTGCAGGAACACAGAGGGGCTGGGGTCTGCCAAAGGGGGTGAAGGCTGGGCCAGTCTGGGGGGAGAGGGCCCTGCTCAGGATGCTCAGGGAACCAGCTCTTGGGTTGCACTGCCCATGCCTCACAAAAAGTCACCTGCTCGACCACCCCAGACCCTTGTTAAACCCCTGGGGAAACCCTTCCCTCCCCCTCCATCCCCAGAGCAGCCTGGCTGCAGGGCAGCTCTGCCCCCACAGGTGAGTGCTGAGAGCAGGTGTGAGCAGCAGAGGCATCAAGGACCCAAAATTGCCAAAGTGCTGCTTGTGCCTTGCTGCCGCTCCTCGGCTCCTGTACCAGCCACAACCTCGACATGCTGCTCAGCCAGCCACACTCAAAGCAAGCAGCCTCTCTTAACAGCTTGGCAAAGTTAAGATTACCCAAGTCCTGAGTTGAGTAAATGGCACTCAATCATATTAAAAGCTGAGCCCTAGCTCCTTATAGCTTCTATTTTAATTCTATTTGTAACTTTGAGTTGTACAGAGCAGTGAACAGAAGTCCCAGAGGAGGGTGAAGCTGGAAAATGGCAGTTTCTCACAGCACACACAGGGTTGTTGAAAGCAGCATTTTCTCATGTGGGGCTATTCTCACAATCTCTGAAACTGAGCGCTGACTGACAGAAAATAAAGAAGAGAGGAGGTGGGCTGGGGTAACTAAGTATTCAGCAGGAGACCAAGCTGAGACTTTGGGCTAATGGGGGAGACAGGCAGGAACCAGACTCCACCGTGTGGACACAATCCAGCAATGCTTGCCACACACTGCAAGGAAGCAAAAATGGAGTTAATGCATAAACTGTTGTGGAGAAGACCCTGCAGAAGGAGTGAGCCTTGTGCCTCGCAGATGTGAAAAGCCACTTGTAGTAATTGCAAGGAAGGGAAAACAAAAGCCTTTATCTCTGGAGGGATGACCTTGCAGGAAAAATACAATCCGTGTATTATTTCCATGCATTTTTTTTTTACTATGTTTAGCAAAGGAACAGGGGCAAGGCCCATGTCAGTAATTTTATTTTAATGAGTTGCAAATTCAAGTGATCAAATGTAAAATTCACCTGTTCCTTGCGTGAACTACTCAACAATTAAGCAGAGATAATTCTGAGATGCTGGGGGATGATATAATAGAGTGGGAACGCAGGAGAAAATTTTCTTTGCTAAGAACAAATTGCCATGAAGAAAGCACATGCTTGAATCCAAGCCGTGGCCAGGTGCCTGAGCTGTCCTCAGGTACCACTGCATTGATTGACTTACTTGGGAGGAGGCTGATAAGGTTTTTCCAATGTAACGGGTACCTGAAGTTCTCATTCCTCGCAGTCCTTCACTGGCTGAATCGTACTGAGACAGCAGGAGCACAGGGTTGTCAAAGATGTGAGCATGTACAGAAGACCACAGAAGACTACAAGAAGTAAATCCTAAACCTGTATCTTCGCCTCAGGAATTTCTAGCTTGAAGGCTTGTGCAGAAAAGACCAGCACACGTTCCTGGATCCTCATTATTTTAAGCATCTGCTAGCTCAGTTAGTATTTTAAGCATCTGCTAGCTCAGTTAGAGAAAGAGGTGTCACCACACATTTTAAAGTTTACACCTAGAGCTGCTACCCTGTTACACATTTTAACTGCTGGAGCAGAAGGACGTGCTTCTACCTCTCAGTATTTTTAATAGTAATACCATGGAACATCTTGAAGCATCAAAGCATTTTTTTAAATTGTATTGCTATATATCTGCGTTTTACAATAGATAATGTCTCTTGAATGGTAACAGGAATTGCCTCTCAGGAACTTGTCAGAAGTATTGTTTTATTGTGCAAACTTGTCACAGAAACTCTTCAGTGTCATTTGCTCTGCTAGCTATAGGAGTATGCTGTTTTTTTGTAATTAGTAAATAGGTTGTCACTGTTTTGCACTTGCTTATGCAAAACTCTTAATTTTCATTACTCCCACTGGGAGCATTTTGCTGCATCCTAGTCAACACAGAATGAGGATCACTCTTGACCATGTACGTCAGGCAGTGACAAGACATGAAAAAGGAAATTCTGGGGGCAAGTCCTGTTCAGTTCAGCTAGCTATAGATACGATCAATCAAAAGAGGTCAAGAAGCAGGATATGACATGGGGTGCAGTAACATTTATACAACTTGCAACCCTTGATTTTCAGAGTTTATTTTCAATACTGTCCTAAAGATGCAAAGGGAACGGTGGCTAGTTTTCATCTGAATATAATTTATTTCATACTTTACATTTAATATCAGATCAACAGAACATTGATCGTAAGTGAAATAAAAACCTACAGCAGGAGCTGGTCACAACTGAAGAGTTTTGTTTTGTTTTTATTTAAAAAAGTGAACAACACTTAATTGTATGAACTTGTTTGGGAGTGGGGGCATCTCTTGCAGACCAGCTCAAGTAAGCCTGTTTTTGGAAATCTAATTCTCTTGTTACAGTTACTTGCAGCAGGGCATTTAAGATCAGGACTTGAGCAAAGAGAACCATGGTCGAAAAGAAAAAGGGACCAGGTACATGTCAGGAAATGATTTATGGTAATAATTGTCAAGAGCAGCAATGCACTGCCAAGATACTTTTTTTCCTGTCTCATGCATGTAAGCCACAAAGGCTGCTCTAGGAGTCACCAGGAGCAGAACTGTGACTCAGACACAATTACTCCTTTTCTCCGTAACCAACACCCCCCCAAATTTCGGCAGTACTGACATACACAGCATTTAGTAGATAGTACAGGACTGCCATTTCTATTTGCTGTGTCACTAGGACAGGACTGCTGCTAAACCATCAGCATGGCTTCCATGCAAGACTAACGCAGCCAATTTATGTCACAACTGACGCTTTTTTAGAAGAAGGCTGAACTTTACATTTTCAGCTCTTTACCCCATTTGGCTTCTCACTTTGGTCTGGTTTACTTCTGTAAATTACATTCCTCTTTTTCCTAGAAATAAATTACATGAATTGTCCTTCTCCCCAGTTTGCTTTCCTACTTTCCTGAAAACATTGACAGGAGATGGTTCTGGGTGACAGAAGAAGAGTTAGTAAGATCATTATATCTAGTGTCCTCACCCAGAATAGCAGTGTTTGAAGTGAGCAGCTGAACGGATTCATATGGAAGAGATCCATGTCACTACAAAAAGCAAAGAGCTTCATTCCAAACATACTTGTTCTTAACAAGTACATTTCAAATACAGAATTGGGATGGAAAATGAGTTCTGTCCTCTTTCCAACAAAAGGATTTACACAAAAGACTGGAGGTGGCCTTAACTCAGAGAACTTAACTTTCCCTCAGGAGTAGAAAAAGTTATGTTACCTACCCCAGTAAGCACGTGGAGAAGTGAGAACAAGTCTTCTTCCTTGTTCAGTGCAGGAAGATATATGTGAGACTGCACAAATGGACTGTGGCTAAATGGCAACTGGGAAGATGGCTGCATGACGGGTGGTGCTCAGTGCCCACTCACACAACCTCAGCAGAAAGCACTGCGCGTTCAGAGTCATGTCGCTTTATTGGTTACTGAGCCACAATTCAGAGAAGTATTGCCTTGGAGTCACCTTGAGAAGCAAGTTCTCTCATTTTTTCTCCTAACATAATTGGTAGGCCACCACCTGCTATATAGATAGTAAAAATAAAAATGTCTCTGTTCGAACTTGGAGCATCTGGGGGAAGGTTTTGCAGTTTCCGTTGACCCAGGTACCGTAACAGAAGCGCACACTCTCACCAGATTAGCCGTCTGCATCGATTCTGTGAGCTGTTGGATGAGAACAGTAAATGGATACACGCCACTTTCTAGACATGTCCTAGCTTGACCTTAACTACTGTATCAGGAACATTCCTGGTCACTCAGTTGGGCCAACGAAGCAGTCTAGAGTTAACCGGGGTTTGTGCCATTTAGCTAACTGCACAGGCCTACAGTGGTACCAGTAAAACACGTCACTAGTAGATGATGTCTCACAAAACGATTCTGGCAGAGAAAACACGAGGAAGAAATCTGGTGCAGGCCAGACGTGAATTGCCTAACAGGGATACCAGCAGCTGGAGGAAGCCTCTGCTTCTAACTCAGGTCTATCTAAGGTTAGATGGCATGAAGAGCTGCATTCATCTGCTGGTATGAAGAGCTGCTGTTGAGGTCTTTTACAGTCCTAATCCAGAGGTATATTATGGGTCAGTCCAATTCAGTACAGAGCAATGCTCTATATCCCACCACTCACTAACCAATGGGAGGTACCTCCAGCATGCCAGCAGGAAAACCTCCAGCTGACAGATCCCAAGCAGCAGCAGAACAGCATCACTGCCACCAGATCTTAGACTGGAAGGCAGCACGCTGCTTCTCCTCATAAATCTGAGGTAATCCTTTACTGGGTCCTGAAGGAAGGAGCTACTTACATTGCTTTGGTATCCTAAGGGCCTCATTGTCAGCTGACATCACTTGGTGCAGAACTCCCCGGAACTGGTAAAGCACTTTCAAACTCTTTTCCTCACCCACGCAGGGGTCGTAGAAACCTGGAAGCCCAACCTTTAAACACAGAAGGATAGACTGAGCATTAGGGAATGGACTTTTGCAGATCTTCAACTGACCAAAACCTTTTACTAGTGACAAAACTAGAAGAACAAAGTTTTGTTGGTAATGAGATGAGAAGCTAAGAAATTACATCCCCAATGGCAAGTTCTAAATGCAGAAAAGATTGAATCAGGGGGTCAGGAAGTTGCTGGTGTGCAGCCCCAGAATCTCTAACACATACTGTTCCACACAGAACACTGAGACACTGTTTCTTTGACATTGGAAATGCTCAGAGAAACGATTTCCTAGAGGTTCATAATGCTTGTACAGAAGTGGCTTCTGTAAATTGACCTAGAGTTACTAGCTTCAAACACACTGGAGAAACTCCCTAGTAGGACAACACACGGTTCAATCAAAATTCTGAGTCACACACTTAAGCGCCTGAGTATATGCTTTGACATTAGAGCTACGTACCTTGGATGCCTCTGTAAGGATGAGCTTAGAGTCCTTCACCAAGCACTGCAGGGGCACAGTCACATCTATTACTTTCACCTTCTCATTCTTCCGGCTGTTGTCATTAACAAACTTCCCATACCAGGCATTCACTACAATCAGACCTGCATTTCATATGAAACCACAGATGTGATGAAAGGCTTGCCACCAACAGCTGTGCAGACACTAATGGAAAAAACATCCAGCATTTTCTATTTTTTTTTTCTTTCAGTGATATTTAAATCCTCCTTGCCTGGCCCCATGTTTCTCAAGACAGAAGCACATTTACACTTGGGTGCTTGTTAGCAGTCTTCAGTGATAGGACAGAATGACATGACTTAAATGTCACCCTGATGTGACAGTCCAAGTGAATGCCACTCAGCCCACTTTGGAAGAGTCTCTTGGAAATTGCTAGCAAACATCAGAACTCATTTCCATTATGATCCAAGAGTAAGCTGTGTAGATTAGAGATCAGTGGAACCCAAACTTTAAACTTTTGCACATTCTTATACATAAACTCTCTTTTGTGCAGAGATGAATACAAACTGTTGTCTACATCCTAGTGATCAATCACGTAATCTGCCCCAGGACAACATTCAGTGCATCCCTAAGCTTTGACACCAGATGCTGAATCACAGTGGGCCTTTCCCAATAGGTGCACAACAGCAATTATACGATGCTTCATGCCTCCCTTAACCACCTCATGTTTGTATTGTTCCTTCCTCTCTCCAACTTTATGGAACAAGGAAGTGGTGTTACAATCTTTACCCATTCTGGCTTCCTCTGCTTCAATTATCCTCCGGACAGACTCTTGCATTAACCGGACCTGTCAAAATAGACAAAAAAGGGATAGAGTAAAAATCAAGCAGTGTCAGGCACTGGGTCCCAAAGGGACAAGCCAAGTAAAACCAGCTTCCTCCAATTAAGAGGACTTAGTTATGGGAAAGACTTACTGCAGCTTCTGCCTCCTGCTTCTTCTGAAGGATGTCGCTGGCAGTACTCTCCCTTTGCTTCTCCAGCTCCCTGGCATAAGGAAATCAACATCACATCAGGTGTACACAATGAATGGGATTCAGCCACAAAGTGGCAAATGTCTACTTACCCACCCCAATTACAACTGACCCACAATCTCACTCAAATGAGTTGGGTTTCAAGGTTCTTCCCCACCTTTCAAGATATTTTTGTAGCCTTCCAGAACTCAGTAGTATTGACGATGTAGTGTAACACAGTGCTTCAGCTGGACATTCCAACCTTTGCACCAGACTCCCAGAAGCACTTGAGCAGGACTTCCCAGCTCTGTATTTCAAACACAGTCTTGCTAGCTCACCTCTCCTTTTGTGCCCTGAGGTAGGGTTTGATGATTAGCCTGTGCATGGCAAAGTAGATAACTAGGGGTCCCACAGTGGCATAAAATACAGCACTGGGAAGCAGCTGATCTGTTAGGTGGACAGGGAAGAAGTAGGTCTGGCTAGCCCTGTTCAACCTGCAACAAAAAAAAGAACAGTGACAGGTCAGAAGAAATGCAGAGATTAATGTGCTTTGTTAAATATACTTTGCAGCAGCAACAACCCCCAAAGAAGAGGAGATAGAAATGAACACTGAACACTCACAAATACGAGACAGTTGTAAACCTGAACATGGCAATGGTAAAGCAGTCAGCTAACGCCACCAAGAGCCACTGTCATAAGGTAGATCTCTGTTGTGCTAATACCTGGTAATTCTTAAGTGCTTTATTAATCTTAGGAGAATCTGTTTGGTCATTACTTTAATCAGACAGTGGGACCAACATCATCATGAAGAGAAAAGAAAATGGTAATAGAGAAGTTCTATGTTCACAACCCCAGCATGTGCCTTCAAGGAAGGAGTACACTAATGTTCTTCTGAAGTTTATTGTGACATTTACTTTAGAAAACACTCTTCCTGAGACTGAGATCTTAATGTCTTTATATTTTCTTCATCCTGGCATGCCCTCTGCTGGCAACAGTTAAAAAGTGCACTACAGTTTATAAACCCTTGAGAATTTGGCATTTGTGAACTGCCTTATTAATAGTATAATCATCTATATTAGTTAACGATAATTCACTAATTTGAGTATATACCTATGCACAGTGTTGTATAAATGGAATGCAATTAAATACATTTCTTCTAATAATATTTTTGGAAGTCTTCCATTCACTTACCGTAATGCTCTAAAACTTAACCTTTATTTTCAGAGTATTTTGATGCATGCACGCAACAGTCCCCAAAGAGGTGTTTCAGGCTCAGAGTAGTATGAGCACAGCTTGCATTAGAGGTGAGGGCAGTTGCAACCTTTTAGTGATAATGTCAATATACCTGTATTGCCTTAAGACTGGGACCTTCCCACCTGAATTTCTGAACTAGAATAATGCAGGTTATGGTCAGCCTCTGCAAACAACAGTTATAATCTTGAACTGACTTGATTTTCAAAGACACTCCTTGGGGAACTCCAACACTGACAGTGGCTCCTAAAATGCTGTGTCTGGAGATCTTCCTCTCTGCTCCGTACTCCACTATGGTCCCAAAGAAACCCGCCCTAGAATGGGAGAACCAAAAACTGGTAAGACAGGGAAGACTCTAATTTCTCTTTACTGAATTCTGTTTAGTGTAACTCCCCACCAGGTAAATCATACAGCAGATATATTGTGTGCACCACATGTTGGCTACAGGAAGAATCGCACTGTACCTACAAGATAAGATTAGCCTTTTCAGCTAAGTAAAGGAGTTAGAAAACTACAAAAACTTCTGACTTTCTTATTGGCAATGATATGGAGGTATCAAACACACAGGTATTTTATGTTCAGCTTATCTCAAGAGACACACAGAACTAAGCCTCCAAGACACTCACTTCAGTCATTTATCCACTATAATTAAAGAAAAGCAGATTCCAAAAGACTACATTCAATTTGTGTGGAACGTGAAGCCCTACAAAAGCAGGAGATAACATCCTTCAAGCCCTGAGCAACGCAAATTTCCTCTTGCACACTTACTTGAGAGAACCTTTCACTCGTGTTTGATCCTCATCCTGAAACTTATGCTGATAACTGACCATCATGAAAGAATGAGGGATTCCCAGCTGAAATACAAAAGGCACAAATTTATGAAAACATACCCTTGGCCACTTTTGAATGTTCCCCCTACATTTCCTGTCTTATCCTTTAAGTGGCACAGAAAACATAGCAATGTCTGCCACTTACTTGTCACAGCCCACAATCTGTGCAGTCTGTGTTGACCATCCTAACCCTAATCTGAGCTGATCCACATCAGATGTCAGGTTGCTGGGTACAAAGTGCTGTGCTCTGTCAAATGCAGCTGGTCAGCTATGTTAAATGTTCTTAAGAGACGGTATCGACTGCTCCTTTACCCTCTATTCCCAAGCCAAAACACTGCTGGAAGAGAAAATCTGAGACACTGTCCCCTGCACACAGCAGCAGGACTCTCACCTGTAACGCCACTGTGAAATGGCTGGTCTTTGTATCCCGGACGATGCTTGTGTTCATGGCTGACTGGATGCCCCACCGCCACTGTAAGTATCCCATTGTGTTCTTATCAAGGTTGCGGGCTAGAACTGTGGTGAGGCCTGGGCGGATCCCACGGGATGAAAACTGCAGAGCACAGTTTGTAGTGATAAAACTAGAAGGAATGAGAAAAGCCTCATCAGGCTCTCCAGAAGGTCTCAAACTCTCTCTTGCACGTGAGCCTCGCTGGATGTGCAGAGACTGTCTTGCAGAAAGCATGACCCCCGAGGGTTTCAGGAAAAACTCCAAATAATTTATATTGTACTGGCCACCACTGTACCTCCCCAGAAGTGTATGCTCATGCCCTAGTTTACTGGTCTGTGCCATAGCACTGCGATCCACACAGCAAGCTCCCTTCCAATCTTTGCCCTTCTGCCCTAGGCAGAAAAAAATCTGGTCATCTGCTTAGAACTGCTTTCCTACAAAACTAGCTTAAGAAATGGTTGCTTTTTACTGATCTGCTATGATCCAGAAGTTGTTTCTGTTTTAAGAAGTGAGAAACATACCATCTTCTGGTCAGTAGGTAGCCCTTAATATCAGTAAAGCTTCATGGAAAAGAAACCCTATAGTTCCTCCTGAAGTAGGAAAACAGTACAGTAACAGTAGTCTCTTAAAATGTAGCATTTTCACAAGAGGCTTAATAATACTTTGTAAAGACTAAAAGCTTCTCAGTATCTGCGCTAAATACAAATTTCCTACCATGAAGATGATGTTGTATCTTTAAACTAATCATAAGACGTGTTTACTCGAACAGTGCAATACAGATTTATATACAAAGAGCCTCTACTATTAGTCCTCTATTGATCTAAGAACATGTACACATTTTTCTGGCTGACTACAGCGACATCAGCTCTCCATTTTAGAACAAGCTTCTATTGATCTCTTTGTGAGATCATGTCTTGAGTATCATGATTTCATGACAAGATCAAATACAAATTAACGAAGTAGAACAAAAACCCTCCTTAAAATAGAAGCATTAAAATAGAGGACGCTAACACACAAAAATACAGGCGTTTTGACTGGCACTAAAACACTAACTAAAGTCTTAAGAAGAAAGACATTATTTTGTAGGACAGAAAACAAGTCTAGAATTAACATGAAAATGAATTCAAGCTGTTTGCTTCCTTAGTGTGAAATATGAACCACTAAACCATTTTTGCAATATTTACCATCTTGGTGTAAGATTACGGAATATCTTCAGACCGAAGAGAGGTCCCTGAAGGTCTCCTGCTCCGAACTCCAACTGTTATAAAGGCACAATGCCAAATAGTTAGAAGAAAACATCTTTTGCAAGTGACAAAGTACGTCACAAGCATCATTTACACCACAGGTATTTTACACATTTCTGAATATTTACTGCATATTTTAGCATCCTCTCTTTCCTGCTAGCTTTGCATTTAGAGCGAGAAGTGTCTCATTGAGTGGTGTCACGAGTAAAACAAAGCCGTTTTTGTAGCCCTACATGCTAACTAGCACCTGGCTCTGGCTGCTCCAGCAAAAACAGAGAAAACACCACCACCATAGCCCTCCAGTGGCAAATCATGAAGCCAGGCTGGTGCACTCTGAGTGTAAGAGTCCTTGTCTTTAATGTTCACCACTTTGATGCAGATGGCCTTGCAGATAACTGGAGAAGAACGGTTAGGACAGCCTCACAGTAACTGTTGTCAGCAGTTCTGCTGCTGCACAGTCTCAGTGTCTGCAAAATGCGCCTGCTGTTTCAGACAATAGTCTGGGTGATTTCCAGGGCTGCTATTCAATGTTTATTTGGTGCTGTCCATTCTCATTAACAGAGGCAGTTCTTTGACCTGACACCTCCCTCGACAATCCTGCAGAAACAGTTCCTACTACATCTGCATCTCCCAAGTAGATTTGTTATATGGGTCTTTTTTTTTTTTTTTTTTTTTTGACTTTTTCAGTTATCTGACTCTTGACTGTATCTACAAGCTCCTATGTTATTAACATCAGAAAAGCCCAATATAAATCAAATGCCTCCAGTCCATGAATTTCCAAATAAGTGGAAAATTCCCATTTCTCACACACTGAGGAAACAGGTTAACAGCAGCTGATGCACAAAAAGGACTTGCAGAAAGCAGATACCTGCCAGCCACAACAGCAACACCACAAAGCATCTCCGATAAAGACATCAGTCTCATGCAACAGAGCTTGTGCTCGTATAAAAGGAGTCACCACAGGTGATTACCTGGGACCTTTTAGCTACTTCGATCATACCTGCCTGCAAGTTAAACTATTTCCCCCCATAGATACAAAAATGCATAACATCGAGTGCTCTTACCTCTCCCCATCCCTTGGCAGATGTCACCCGTCTAAGAGCAAGATTAATTGATCCACCTCCATTCCCATTCTGGGTAGAGAGGTTACCAGACAGTATTGCTGTGTCCGTGGCAGTTAGTGGTGCCTGAAAAAATTAATGTATTGTTACCAACATGATCCTATTTCACACATTTAATGCATACTCTGCAAAGACATGATCAAACCTGCAGGTGAGTGCAGACTGTAAGCACAGAGACAGGTAACACTACAACCGAAACCTTGTCATCCACTACGTCCAGGTGTTCGAACCAGACACAGCCACACTTGCTCTAAATTTTGTAGTCAGAATGCACCAAAGCCAGATCATTCTTACAGTATCAGGTGCTCGTGACACTAACGTACCACCTTGTAGTCCTGACCTTATTTGCAATCCCTTTTAATCTTGCTAGCAGACTAAATTTCTTCAACCCTTTGTAACTGAGTATACACATTTTCCCTTCTTTTTCTTACCTGTATCCTCAAATTCGGATGATGTGTGTGTTGTGGTTTAATCAGGTCAGTGTGCTTTTACATACTGAATGCTCCGTGTTTAGAGAAAACTACATACCTGTTTTTAATCACAATTCAGCCTCCCTGCTAGCAGGAAAGTAGGACCACTACAGTGTGCAAATCAGTCCCTACCTATAAGACATGCAGTCTTATAGGAACTGAGCCTCCCACCCACACCATTTAATCACGTCCTCCCATGAAGAACGATAAGAACCCCCCTGAGCAGTGTTTCACTTTCTGCTGGCTTGCATTGCCTCGTTATCTCAGGCCCTGACCCACACCAGACGCAATGCCTGCCTGTCCTCCTTACCTCGATGGACTGGGATATGTGCATTTTGTTTATTTCAATCTGGGGAAAGCTGCTCCCTTGCACATCTTCATATTCTTCATCATAACGATCAAAGAGGTCAGTGGCATCTATTCCAACACTAATAGTTCCCTAAGGAACAAGTGAAACAAGTACCTATTATTAACAAACATCCAACATATCCAGGCCAACTGGCTAAAATATCTTTATAGGCAACTAGTTTAAAGATTTTTTTTTGCTTTTTCATGTTTTATAATTACATTTTCCACTCTAAAATGCATTTCATACACATTCAAGACAAACAAAAATGTTTGCAGTATTCTAAAACAGCAATATAAATCATAAAATAAACTGGATAAAAGACAAGTTTTTTTTATTTTTCAGGAGGAATGAAAGCAACCTGTAGCATTAGTGGAATTTTTTTCTGTTGTTAAATGTAACAGAAGTAGGTAGAACATTTTCATGCAGAGGGTATCTCTTTCCCCCACCACTGACCCTCCTCCACCAATTTGTCAATATTTTAAAGTGGAATCAATATACTTCAGAAATGAATCTTCTTCAATGGAACTTGGCCAGAAATTCTCTAAATGCTTTCTTCTTATGAATTATCTCAAAAAACTTTGCATTGTTCACTTGTAATTGAGCTTGTCAGTCAACATTTCATTTTCTTTTCCCTAGCTTATATCTCATAATCAGAAGAAAAGCTTGACAGACTTTTAGCAAGTGGTAAATATTTCCTTTCTCAGGCCACAGAAATAGTGCCTTAAGCTTATTCCTGCAAAAACTAGGCCACAGCTAGATAGTCTGTCTACCTGCTGCTGTGTTCAATCATACTAACTGCAAGAATGGCTTTATTTGAAAAGGGCATGATTAGATCCTTGTCTGGGTCATATAATTTCAAGAGGCTTTTGAAAACTTCCCTATAGATCAATTAAACAGCATTACAGCTCGTATAAAATGTACCAGTTGCAAAAAAAAACCCAAACCCTATGCACAAGCATAGAATTAACTGAGCAATTTGTATGAACAACCCTCAGTAACTGGGTAGGTACAAAAAACATTCACACAGAGTCTAAGTATGGACAGAATAAATTCTTATTTCAATCTGACTGAGAATTTTTCCACGCTCACTGCATTCTAATAAAATCCTGAACCTTAAAAAAATGAAGAATTGCAGAGCTTGACAGGACTCAGAACTTCTGTTTGGTTTGGCTCCCAACTATTTATTTACTGTGGAGATTCCTGATCTCTTCTCAATGTTTATTTTCTGATTGCTTGCACAGAAAAAAATAATTATAAATATTAACATAGAAAGTGCAATTATTTTCAGGAGAAATCTGGAATAAGAGCTGCACCCCATTTTTATTTTTATTTTTTACAATTTATTCTAGAAAGGCTGTTGAATTTCAAATCAATTACGCTTATCTTTCTGTTTGTGGTGATACAAATGACAAGGTCCTGCCCTTTATGCAGAATACTACTTTTCAGGCATGAGCTGCAAAGTCACCTTCAAGGGATCTGCTCTCCAAACGCTACAACTTCTTCAGTTTCAGGCCTCTCATATGTTGTGTTGTTCCTTGAAACAAGGCCAAAGTAACAGTGAAGCAAGGCAAAACTGCCAACTGCCTAGGAAGCTGTGCAGCCCTGTGCTGCTGCTCCAACCGTCTGGAAAGCAACTGAGGAAAATAGCCAAAGAGAAACAAAGAGTGCCAACTTCACTCAATGAAATTCCAATAAATGCACTCCAGAGTGACTGCTCAAACACGTTTAAGTAAAGGTGAACTTTTATTTTAACAAAGCAGAGAACTACTGCTGTTTTTTTCTGATGCTATTCATTTCAAAGAAGTATAAAACCCAAGATCTTCATAGCAGATGCAGGACAGAAAGGTTTTCCACTTGGAGTGCCACATTCAGTGAAGAACCTCTGCCAGACTGCAACTTTAAATTCCAAGGTAAATGTTTTTAAACAAAGGTTATCAAACTAAGTAGCAAGCATGTTGAATTTGAGTGGCAAAAAGAAAATTAAAAGATATATATTTTCAACTCAGATCAGAATATAAGCAGCAGTAAAGATTTCTTAAGTATTTGCACTAAAGAAATGAAAAATATTTTTATAGCTATCTGTTTAATTGTACTGCAATACTTGTACTCTGTTAGTATGTACAAAGTTGTAAACATTCCTGACATTCATTGCACCTAATTTCTTTCAATCATACTCAAAATTTTATGATTTCTGTTTTCACACCTATGAATTTTAAAACAAGTATTCCTTTCAATGAAAATGAAGAAGTCAAAAGGAAAACATCTGGACCTATTCATGGAAATCTCCAAGATTCATTCAGAGGAAAGGAGCATCTCGGTTTCCTCCTTTGTGGCGTCCCTCCCTCAGCCTCAGCAGAACCTCTATTTAGTTTCTTTTTGCTGAAGTGAGCAGCGAACTCCATGCAGGTATTTTACCTCCTGCCAAGCAGGTGAAGTCACCCTCAGAGACCTATAGGTCCTGGCAAGGAAACTGGCTCACACACAAGTACAGGAAAAGCAGCAGATGGTAGTGTTAAAAATATTCCCTGAGAACGACAGCACCCCCTATGCCACCGGATAATAGAGAGGGGAGTGCTGCTACTCGCAATTCCCCATCAGCCACCTGCTCAGACCATTGGAAAAGGAAAAACACTCCCCAAAGTACGAACAGCAGGGAAAAGCTGTAAAGCTCTGCTCAGAAGTTGGCTGTGCAGGCTCAGCAACATGCTGCAAAGTACACCAGCTCAGCAGGGTGGGAAGTCGGTAACAGCACTACAGAACCATCCTAAGTGTTATCTGGCATCACCTTTTAAAATCACCTTTATTTAACATTCCTGCAAATATGAAACAATCACTATTGATGAAATTACGAGACGTGCCAGAGAGGAATATCCTCCATCCTCATCTTTTTCCAAATGGATTTGCCTTCTGAAAGGTGACATATGGAAGCGAGGCTAAGCCTTGAGGGACCTACACTTCTTAAATGTTGACCTTCCACAGCAGGAAAATAATGGGATTTAGTTTCTCCGAACAGGAAGCTGTTCTTCTCAAATCAAATAATGAACTTTTCAACCGTTCTGCATGTCTTTGAAAGTGAAAACAAAACTCTAAAAGCAAATAATAGATTCAAATCAAAACCTGCCACATTGCCTACATCTGGTTATTGCTCAACATTTCTGGTTAAAATGCTTTATTTTGCTGGTGCCATTTTATAGAACTAACAAAATGTTGGAAATTTAAAAAAAATCTCGTGCTCATGTATGAAATGATCACAGCTGTGCCACTAATTCCACAGGAACACTGCCTGGAGAGACATTTCTATAGGATGCCAATCAGCAATTGCTGTAAACACCCAGATGGCTAATTTTATCACAGGACACAGAGGCTGAGGCTTACAACCCAGCTCTGCTTTTTACTGCTCACAGCCACGGCAAAATGCCCAGATAAAATGTCAAATTCCTGAAGTCACAGGGTTATGTGGAGATTACCATGCTCTCTCTGCCAGTATCTTTCTGACCCCAACCACCCTCATCTCCGACAGAGACATTTTGACTTGCCCCATTTTGTGGCATCCAGAAGTCTCTTCCTGCCTGGAATAATGTTGTCAAGTCATATTTACATATCACCTGCTGCTTATTTACCCTTCCAGTACAAGCAAGTTCTTAATATCTGTACATTAATCACAACAGCTGGGAGATCCATATTAATCAATTTGACTCTGGAGATACCCATTTTTCTATCAAGAATATAAGCATTTATAAATAAAACAAATTCTGCTATCTCGTAAGTTATTCTTCTGAGACAGAGAAAGTTTCTTTGTCTATATAAATATCTGCAGTTACCTCAGGGTGGAGAGAGGAAAACTAAGGCTCCCCACCATATTTCTATCCTACATGAAAGAAACAGATTTCTAACAGGGGGTTCAAAAATAAGCAATAAAATCATTCCTGATAGTTTAAGGAGAAAAGAGGTGGGGAGGAGAGAGGGAGAAAAAAAAAAAAGCTAACTGGCAGACTAAAGTCTAAATACACTAGGTGAATGTAGATGCAACTCTCAGATAATGTTATTCACTGCCTGAAAACCCAAGACTTTCCTGATTCTTTGAAACCTCACTCACTGGGAATCCTGACAAAACCTGGGTTTGCCTACCTATTTATCAAGCCAAGAGCCTGCAAGGCCATTACTATGCTAAACTATTGGAGTACTCAAGTCCCGGCAGGTGACAGGAAGCAGCGGTTAGTCATCATTTCCATATTTCCCTGCCATTCCAATGCTACCACAAGCAGATCATCCTCATCACAGGATTCTTGATCATCCCTAAACAGCCAAGACTCAGCTGTGAGGTGGGTCATTTAGGGTCACTTTATTGCTGCTTAAATGGACTGAGAGATGAGAATGGAATATTCAATGATTCTCCTTGTAAAAGCGTAATAAAACTATCTTAAAACAGGCATTAACTGAAACTGGCAAGATCCCAACCCTGCTCAGGTTGATTTTGCTCACTGTGCTGCAAGTGCTCACAGTGAGCAGGAGGAGTTCCACTACCCATCTGGTTTGGTAGCTGCCTCGTATTTTTTGTTGGTTTCAAGGCTGCATTTGAATATTTGCCCACATTGTTGTGACACTACAGCAGTGTTGAAGAGAAAAAACTATCAGGTAACTGCAGGGTTTCATTTTGGATATTTGGAAAGAATTCATAAAAATTTCAGTGTTGGGAATGTTTTCTTAAAATTGCTGAAAGAGATATTTTACTCTGAAATTTATCAACAGAAAAAAAAGTAAGGAGAAATATTGTTCAAAGATCTTTTTCCCCACATTTTCCAAAGAAATCACACATTCAAAAAAGGAAAAGTAATGCTCTAAGTGTGGATACCAAAGGGGAAATTTACCATAGCCCTTCACTGAAACTCATCACCCTTGCATATTTCTAAAGATTTAAGGATTCACTGTTGAGACTGGGATGAAGTCTGCTTACCTTTGGATTCGTTCGCTGCTGTAGTCTTCTCTCTTCCCTCTCTCTCTGCAAACGCTCAAATTCCTCTCTGATTTCAGCTGGAGTTCTCTTCCTTTCCACAACCTGTTTAAAAAGATTTTGAATACACAAAAGATTACCAGAGAGAGAATGTCCAGGGCATTTCTGCTGGTGGAAATGAGGTCCATTGACCTGGGTACGCTCTAATACTTTGTCCCTGATGCTGCTGTAAGCCACTCTGCATGAGTTTTAATAATAGAGTTTGGAACCAAACACCTGGTCCAGATCGAATGGCAAGCAAGAGAGTAAAACACATGCTTTGAGAGAAGTGAAATGGTCTTGTTCTCATCTACTCTCTTGAAAAAAATAGGGCAAGAAGGTTTCAGACCACAGGTAGAAGACAGCTCAAAATGTCTGTTATATGCTGCCATTGCTACACATGACTTGCTACTAACCCCAAACTTGATCTTGGTACTGACTTGACACAATATAATATGATTTTGCAGCAAGCAGTATAATTTAATTGACTAAGACTGACAGAGGGGACTTAACAGGAAAGCCAGGAACAGATAAGCTCTTTTTCATAGCACTCTATAGCTGTTCCCTCCCCCTCCCTCTCAGCAAGACAGGGAAAAAAAAAAAAATCAAACCCACAGGCTAACTGGTATGGAAAAAAAAGTTTCAGATGAGAAAGACAAGCCTAGATGGACAATACTGATGCATTTGTCTCAGACAAAGATGTTGCCTGTCATGGTAATATCCTATTAGAGAACTCAATGTCAGGTTTATTGTTCTCTTGTCAAGTAAAAAAAAGCAAGTATTTTTTGAAAACCCATCATGGTGTTCCAGGGAGGGAGCAGGGAGAAAAAGAGAAAGAAAATTAAACAAGAATGCCTTCTAGCAGACAGGCATTTTTTAACATCGAGGTGTCAGTGCAGCTCCATATTAATCCATATTAACAAGAATTTCAGATAAACCTAGGTTTAGTCAATTCCACTGGCCGTAAAGTGCTAAATTTCTCTCACCTCCCATCCTTCCATCTCCAGTCCTCTCCTCCCATATATGTCATAGATGGCTCTGGTCTGTGGATCGCTAAGCACTGCAAATTAAAATCAAAAGAGGCAAGAACTCAGTATTTTTCCACAGTATTTTTCCAACAGGGTTCTGAGGCAAGTCAGGCATTGGAGTAGGTTGCCCAGGGAAGTGGTGGAGTCACCACCCCTGGAGGCGTTTAAGGCTGGATGTTGATTAGGGACATGGTTTAGTGGGCAATATTGGTGGCAGGGGGACACTTGAAGTAGGTGATCTTAGAGGACTTTTCCAACCTTAATGATTCTATGATCTCGTTCATCGCAGAATTTATACTGCATTGCTCCTCTGATTTACAGGAGAGGAACAGGGAATAAAAAATTACCAAGTATCAGGAAATGTTATTACTATTTTGTAATAATATTTGTTTGTGTTCCAGAAAACCCCTGACCTTCATAAGCTTGGTGGACAAGGTTAAACAGCCGCTCAGCTTGTGTTTTCAGCTCTGGGTCTCTGTGCTTGTCTGGATGATAAAGCATACACAAACGGCGGTAGGCAGCTTTTAGTTCTTCCTGAGAGGCCTGCAAAAAGCAATAAAAATGAATTTAGACACAACCAAGGCTAATTAAAAAAGACCTTTCTCAAAACCAGCCTTAGAAGTCCAACAGCTATTATGATCCGTTACTTTTGCTTACACAAGATCAAGAACGGACTTCTCTTTCAGTGTAGGACACACTGTTTACTTAAGCTAACAAAATGTTCAGTATTTTCCAAGCTATTTATAACACGACAAGTAACAGCAGCAGCTCATCAAGGTACACCTAGGTTAAAAAAAAAAACGTTAGGTAAAAACCAAACAAACAAATTCAAAACGAAATCTGTGTTCATATGCTGTTTTTACTACAATTAATTGGGGAGACTGCTATCTCCCCAATTCAGTTCAGAAGAGAAGAAAAACAAAGTCACCTCAAAGTCAAACTCATCTTGGTCACTTCAATACAGAGCTTTACATCAAATTATACTTCTATTTTAATCCTCAACTTTCAAGCATATCTAACTATTGAAAAACACAGCAACTATCAAAAAACGTTGACTTTGCACATCTGTAAAGAAAATTAAAACTGTAATATTATATTATTCCCATCACTGCTATGCTCCCTGGCATTTCCTTTCCTATACAGCAAGGACACTTGCTGTGCTGTGAGAATGGCAGGCACATCACGTCCCCTCAAAAATTCACTCACCTGCCATAGATGGATGAACAGAAGACCAGTAAGTCACTAAATGCATCAAGAAAAAAAAATGTGCTCACAACTACTCTGGAATTTTAGATGGCATCTGGCCTCATTCCAAAGACATTTGGTGAATAGAGATTTTGGATGGCTCTGTCAGAATCAATGGAATAATAAAACATGCCTTCCTTTATCATCTCCCAGAAGACAATCTCAGAGCAGGGTTGTTTTTTTTTTTTTTTTTTTTTTGACTCTAGAAAGTCCTGGTAGCTTCCCCTTTCTCACCTAGTTCCTTGTATTTCAGCCACTATCTATTCCTTGAAAGCTGATTAACACACATTTAGAGATGTAGTTACCAAAATCAACTGGAACTTCCCTGAAAGGCCCGGTTAGCAAATGCAGCTCCCAGGACGTCAGAGAGGTTCGTGCTGGCCAGCTAGGAAACCGTCCATGCAAGAATCGATTCCTGGGGCACTTACTGCAGAGAAGCAGAAAGCAGAGTACCACTTCTCTACACCAGGGGAAACATTCAGAGCAAAAAAACTGGAACAGCATCGCCGTTATTTGCTGGCCTCCTTCAACCAAACGCAATCAGCCTTTTATTACAGTGAGGGATTGTAATGGGTAGGAATACAACATAGCAAGTGATAAAGGGGCACCAAGACAATGTCTTCTGATATCTTCTGATAACAGATTTTAAAGACACAAGTTCCACCTACTCCTAATGTTCTGTGACTGAAGCTTTCCCAGTTTCCTAGCTTTCCCTTTGGAACCAAAGGCTATAAAGGTTTGTTTCCTGCAGTACTGTCTTCTTCTGACTCGCGGTGAGGAGAGTGAGGATTTCCATCTGAGGAAATGCATTCACCTGCATACCAGAACTACAAGTCCATTCAGTTTTTAGGACACCTCAGAATAGATGATTTCTTTGCACATTTGTACTACTTAATGTTATTTTTTTCTAAATGATATAGCAAAAGTAAACCTGCTGAATTTGCCAGTCCCAAGACAGTCAGGTAGCTACAGCCCAGCTACCTTCTTTTTACTACCTTGTGCTTTCTTGGACATTGAATTTAAACTAGATTGAAAAGGTAGGGGAATATAAAGCTCTCAAATGACATTCATTAATCAAATTAATGATAAATGGCTTAATGTGCTATTGATTATATAATAGAAATGAGCAGTTTCATTCTTCATAAATGCCATGTTCAATAAAACGTTAGATTGGGCCTTTCATCATCGCAGAATAGATTGGGTCATTGGTTCAATATTTCATGAGCGACAAGCTCTCAGAAACCACTAAAAGAAATACTGACATCATTTCAAGTTGCAATGAAACGCGTAAGTCAGTAATAATCATATGCAACTTACATTTTTAATTTTGCCTGGAATTTTGGTAATAAAAGACGCACCATTTCCCTGCCTGGGGCTTAAACAACTTCACTCCGTGTTTAAGGCACGCCACCACATTTTTACTGGACTGAAATCCATGAAAGATTAACCACACACACAGCAGAACATTGCCGCTCAGCAGGGTTACTCTCCTTCCCGCAGCTGCGAAGTTCCCTGGTTAACTCTGCCGTTAAGCTTGGCTGTCCCACCACGCAAATTCGCTCAGCAGACAAGAACCACAGAATGGCCTGGGTTGGAAAGGACCCTAAAGGTCACTGCACACCAACGCTACGCAGGATAGCACTACGGAATTTAATTATCCAGGGGTAATGAACAACCCAAGTACTACCCTCACGTGGAATTACTCCTTCAAAGACCATTCTTACTCGGTTTGCAGCTCCCTGTTGTACCAAACCTGCATTTTCTGGCATCTGTCGAAGAGCTTAAAGTCTAGCTCAGTTAATTATTAAGCCCTCGCTGTTACCCTCCCTGGCAGCCACAGCACCCGCGTGCTTCCCGTCTTATCCTCAGCCTTTCTATCTGCGCATCGGTGACATTTGGGAGCGTGAATTACAAACCCTGCCGAGCGATGTAAAAACACAACCCGCGGATTTTAACAAGAGCCTCACAGAAACCCTCCAAAAAAAGGATGCATCGAGTAACACAAGTCTGGACTTAGAAAAACCAACTGAGGCGTACAGATCCCTTGGATTTGGGCAAAAAAATATGATTCTGACATGGAAACGGGCTCCTCACCCGTGTCGGCGGCGATGCCCCCAGCTCAGCCTCCTGCCCCGAGCTCACCCCGCGCCAGGCCGCAGCCGGTGCCGGTGCCACCCTGAGGAGCCCGAGCGGAACCCCAGAGGCACCGAGCGGCTCCGGGCAACGCCCCCGGGACCCCCACCCCGCTCCCGGGACGCGAGGCCGCGCTCCCTCAGCGCCCCCTCAGCGCCTCCCCCCCGCCTCGCCGCGGCCTCGCGCCCCGCGGAGGACGCTCACGGGAGGCCGAGCCCCGACCCCGCCGCCCTCCCGCGCCGCCCGCGGCCCTCCCCGCCCCGCCGCCGCCGCCCACCTCGCGCCGCACGTTGAGCAGCGCGTAGTAGTCCTCGTTGTCCGGCGCCTCCTCCGCCAAGGCCGCCGCCATCTTGCCGACCTCTCACCCCGCCGCCACCGCCGGCCGCGGCCCCGCCCCCACAGCGCCCCCCGGCGGCGCGGAGGGGGAGGCACCGAGCCCCCCCCCACACCCCCCCCCGGTACCCTGTGGCCGCGCATGCGCACGGGGGGAGGCGGGCGGACCGGGCTGAGTGCGCAGGCGCGGCCAAGCCCCGCCCCGGGGAGCCGTGAGGCGAGGCGGGCGGCGGCGGGCGCGGGCTCCGCGGTGAGTGCTCGGCTCCCTCCCGGTCCCGGTCCCGGTCCCGGTCCCGGTCCCGGTCCCGGTCCCGTCCTCGCGCTCCGAGCCGTTCGGGGCAGCCCGCGCAGCCCCACCCGTGAGGCGTTTCCCCCCCCCCGCGGTCGCTCCGTGCTCACGGTACCGCCGGGCCGGGCCCGCTCCGCTCCCCTCCCCTCAGTAGCCCCGTGAGGACCCCGTGAGGCCGCCGCGGGGCCGCTCCCCCGCCGCCTTCTCCCTGCCCCGTGGGTGTTTCGGCGGCACCGGAGCCTCTTCACGGCCCTCCGTGGCCTGTGGGGCTGCTCTGGGGCCGTGCCGGGCCGTACCGGGCCGTGCCGCCCTCCCGGGAGCCGAGGGCTTCGGTACCGGGCCCGCCGCCGGGGGGCAGCCGCGCGGTGTTGCCGGCTGGAAGCGGGCAGCGACCCCCGGGCACGGGGAGGGCAGCGCCTCGCGGGGTGCCCTGCGCCGGGCCCCGCTGGGAGGCACCGCCGGGGACGGAGTTGGCGGCTCCGCTGTGGTAGGGGGGTAGGGAGACAGCTGGGGCTTGGGTGCTGTTGGAGGGGTGCTGCCTGCGGCTGGACGTGGTGCCGGGGTGGTCCTGGGGTGACTCGGGAGCGCTTCCCTGCGTGAGGAGCTTTTGGAAGGCCTCTGGGTAACACCAGTACAGCCTAGCATGAAGCTGAAACTGTTTTCCCGTTCCAAAGTTCCGTTCAGATATTTAACAACTTCTTCTGATCTAAGGAAGCACTGATTATGCTACAGAAGTTCCTCAGCGCTCGCTGTAGCTATTTTGCTTAGAACAAGGTCTGCAGCAGCTCACCTCCTGAGAAGCCTCATTGAAACGCGTTGGATCTGCAGGGCGATCACCTGGCAGCATGCTTTTCCTGAATGAACCCGCCTGGTAGATTTGTTTTTTTTCCACGTGGTTTAGAAGTTGAGTCTGTGCAAAATTACAAAGAAGACTCGAGTTCTGAGGATGTAAATTGCCATGGCAACGTCCTCTTTCCCATGGATTTTGGTCCTGTCATAGCTGCGTTCTTTTTCTGACTTGATCTGGGAGTTGTGCAGTCCTTAGGGATGTTAGTGGTAAAGTTACTGGGAGACTTTCCCCTTACCAGATTGATCTAACATTTTCCTGAAAGACACAGCTGCTCGTTGCCAGCTCTGGCCACTGTTTTGCACGCATCACAGATGATTCAGGGGAATTAATTTGGGAATGGTCCACAGATGTCACATCTTGGCAGGGAGATACAGGGAGAGAGAAAGATGACTTTAGCAAGCTAAATATGAACTGTGCTTTCTAAGCATGTGGGGAGAGCTCTTTAAAACCTTGAATTACAGCAGAGGAATAGTTACTTCTATAGCAAAAAAGCAATTTTGCAGAAAAAAAAGTACTTATTTGTGCCACATTTTGGTGCAGGGTGCTGTGTTTCCCTTGCCCGTGGTGCTACTTGCAGGTTCCTGACACCACATAAGAAGGCGTTGTGGTGCCATGTGGGGTGCAGTCTTTGTGCCGAGAGCAGCAGATCCCAGGAATCGGATCCTGGATTTAGCAAACCCGTGTGCTGTCAGATACGTGACGCTGTGACTTCTGCTCCAGCGTGTTTAGCATGTTGCTTTTGTAAACCGTGAGTAGCCTTACTAGTTTCTTGATACAGTTCTTGCATTTTCCAAAGGTCACCATCTACTGGTACCTTCCTCCCTGAGGCATAATTGCTTTGATTCCTTTTTACACCAGACCACTCAAATTAAAGGAACTCTCATTGTTATTCACCCCCTTCAAGCTTTAATATCCTAGATAGTTTATTTTCTGCCTATAAAGTATGCTTTGTTCAGAAGAGATGGAGCCTGTGCCTAGAAAGGTGTGATGCTGAGCGTTGCTGCTCTTAGCTTAAGGTCATAAGGCAGGGCTAGGTGTTTGTTCTGGGTGAGTAGTGGTAAAGTCAGGTGCTCAGAAAGGCCTTTGGGAAGGTCCTTCACGAGGACTTGTGTGGTCTGTGTGGAAGTGTGGGAAGGGTGCCTGAAGTCCCTATGTTTCTGCGCTTGGACACCAATAATCAGACCTGTATGGAGAAAAAGACGACAGTGAACTTTGAATGTCCCTGTATGGGAAATTGTTCTTGGAGCTAAATGGCCTTTTAATCTGAGGGAAGCATCCAGACAAGTTTCTCTGGGATGCTGACGACTTTGCTACAAGGATCAGAGGTCTTCCAGGAGAACTGATTCACTTCTGCTGCTTCAGAGCCAGAGATGCCAATGGTGACCTTCCATCTAGTGCATGTTGTATCTAAGCTGGGGGGCTGGGTGGGGACGCATCTTCCCTAGTCTTGTAAGAGTGACAAGCGCGTGAGGAGGCCTTGGTTAGCTCCTTTTCTTAGTAACAGGAATCATGCAGTCATCACTGGAAAATTGCCCCCACACAAAGTGGTTTTGCTAATATTAACTTGGGTTCTATCTTAGGTCAGTGGAGGGAAAATCTAGAAGATGCCATAAATTGAGCTGAGTTTGTCAAAGCTGTCAAAGTACCACCTAATAAAACTCCTACTGATTACAGCCATCAGCCAGAGAGGAAATGTAATGCCAGTGGGGATTTGGTGTAACAGAGCCAGGGTTCAACATTGTTAGACTTTTAATGGAGTGTCATCTGGGGGCTCTTTGGCTTCAGTGAAGGGTGAAGCTTCATTCAGAGTTATTTCTTTAAAACAAACAAAAAATAAAAAACAAAACACAAAACATTTGAAGATCTAGACTGGCATTGTACCTCTCTTATCGGTTAGATTAATGGTGACTACTAAATTTTAGTAAAGGTCTGCTTTGGTCCCATTTGTTAGTATTAGGAGTCCATAGAGATAATGTCTTTTCACGTATAAAAGATGCTATTGATTTTCTGTTGCTGTTGTCCTGAAATGTGCACAGTGTGTCTATGGAGCAGTGACAATCCTCCATCACCAGCTTTATGGGAAAAGAATGGTTATTGAATCTCTTCCCATAAAATATAATCTCTTTCTCTCTTCCAGAATTTGCCAACCCCTGAGGGAGTCCCTCATGTTATCTCTTTGAGAAAATTGATTTTTTTGTCTCCTCTTTGTACACTTGTGTTTAGTTTTATTTTTAATTTGGCTCGTGTGATTTGAAATGGAGACTTTCCTAACAATAAGTGTGTTTTCTCAGTGTTGTATTGCTTCTGTTTCATACAAGTTACCACTTTCAGAATATAGTAAAATAAAGACGCTCGCTTGGCACCAGTTTCTCTTGTTTCTGGGAGTTTTTTTTACTCTGGGTGAGTCATTGCCCTGTTCCTTCCTTCCAGGCAGGTCTGAGATGCTGCTTTTCAGCTGCATACAGGTAAATTTGGGGTAAGTTTCTGGAGTCGACACAGACTGATCAAAGAATTTTGGATGAATGGCACCGTAGCTGAGAATGTAACGTGCAGTGCTATATGCTCAAGGAGCAATGATCTTTAAACTCAAACAGTGGCAAAAACACTGTCAGATTTGTCCTTTCCTCTGTGTAGCAAATGACTGACGATGGGACTTTTTCCTTTCAGGAAGGAAACGGCAACATGAATTCATAGATGATGAGTAGGATGCCAAAGCCAGAGATGACAGTGCTCTTGAAGAAATGCTGGGTAGAACAAAAAGGTAAAAGGAACAGCTAATTGAGTGCATTTTGGAGCCAGTGTGTTACCTTCCCCCACGAGGCAATGACACATCCCTTCAAATTGTAACTGAATTTTCTGAATTCCCTCCTTTTCCTCAGTTTTGCATAAAGTCTTAGTGACACTGCTCACTCCTGACCTACTTTTTATATGCTCAGGGCCTTCCCCAAAGCTGCATTGTTCTGTACCGACAAGCCCCTGTCAAACTTGCATATGTGTCCCTGCATGCACGTGCTTGCAGATCCAGCACCTGTCTCACCCCGACCCGCAGCTGACACTATGAAATCAGTCTAGCAATCGTCCTAGGTTGTCTGCTGCAATATTTTGTGATAAGAACAAAGCAAGGAGATGAACCCAACCAGTTAATTTGCATCTGTTAGTGCTGTTCTCCTAACGGGGCAGTTGAGTGCAGGGATTGGCTGTACCATCGTATGACTTAAGCCTGGGCAGATCCGTAGGGTTGAAGTGTTTGAAATGCATTGCAAACAAGTTGCCTCCATGAGGGCTAAATAACTTTGTTTCTATAATGTGTTTTACTGCATTTTGTGTTAATGCTGTTGAGATGCCCGAGGGAATCACTTATTGGTTCTTTCATTCTGAGGAACTCTTTCTGGGACTGAGGCGTGGTAGGAACTTAGGAACTTGGGGAAGTAAGAAGCAGCTTTAATAACACCTGCACAGAGACATGCAGTAGAAAGGCCTTGGTTGCATTCATCCAATGGCAGCAGAAATGGCTGAAACAGGAACCAAGAAAATCTCATCAGTAGTGTAGCTCTTCCTGAGATATTTTCATTCCTGTTTGTGGAAGACTGACTTGAATCCCTCAAAAAGTCAAATGCAAACATTTCCCTTGAAAACGTTCCAGGTTTGTAGCAATTATGTTTGTTGTCCCCTGCCTCTCAGCTCTTTCTGGCAGCAAGTACATGGGACAGAAGGGCATTTCTGTGGCAAGCAGAAGATCTTCACAGTACAAGCAGCAGAATGACGTGTGAATGCTTGATATATAAATAACAGACCTATTCTGCTGGAAATTTCTTCAAAATAAAAATCAAGGAGGAATTTGCTATAGTTTGTGTTGGTGCCAGTTGTAATTTTTATGTGCTTAAGCTGTTTCCAATCAAGACATGGCCTGTCACACAGCATTGTGCAGCACAGGATTAAGGCTTTTGAACGTCACACAGCCTT